GGGACTGCATTGTAAGTATATGTGTATTGGGGTTATCAAGGAGCTGTAGATATATATAAATACATACGAGATTCCATGTGTAATGGAATGAAGCATGTATGTATGTATGCATGCATGTGTGTGTGGGGAAGAAGTGTGTATGTGGGTGAAGAGATGATATGTGTGAGTAGTGCACTGTGTGTGTATGCAAAAGTGTACTCTGTGTTGGTGGGAGTGTACTGTATGTGGGGTGTTCACTGTCTGTGAGGGTGTACTGTGTTTAGGGGGTGTAGAGAGTGGGATGGGGAAGAGTTTTACAATTTTTACTTTATTAATTGTTTTAAAAAAGAGAATAATCCCCTTTCCCTGATCTTACCTTGCAGGGAGGGGGTGACACAATCAGATCCGTGGTGGGTGAGAAGGCTGCCTATCCATCGGGTACAGGGGAGGTCACGAAATGAGAGGTATCTCTCTTGGAGCTCTAGCACTTACACACACTGACCCATACCAACCCACAGACTACCCGCCCACACAGACAGACTGACTACAAACCCAGACTGACCCTGCACACAGACTGACCCATACAAACCCAGACTGACCCCCCCCCACACAGACTGACCCCCCCGTAACGGGCCGTTTTGCACACAAGGGGTAAAAACCGTTTAGGTGATCAGCCCCCTTTCCAGAGATGCAGGCAGAGCTACTGTAAAACACCAAACTCACGAACCGCCAATAAGGGAATGCTCCAAACTCCCGAACGGCATCCAATATAGCACTCCAAACACACAAACCACACGAATTGCTGCTAGCAGACGAATAGGAAAAGCATCCAAGCGGCTTACACTCCTAGCAATCAGTCTCTATCAGCATTCAGTAAATCCCCCCAAAGACGAGACAAGGCTCCGTGTTGAGGGTCAAGCAGTGGTCTGTTTAATGAGGGCTACCTGCCCAGTATTTATGCAGGTCTCCCACCTGGTGGACACTCCCCTAGGGGACCAAATGGGAGACTGTGACAAAAGACAGACAATCAGCCAAACAGGACACACAGTCACATTGTATTCCCACAATGCATCCTGGCTTCCTCCCCTCTGCCTTGGAGATAATTGAGAAGTAATTCAATTATCTCCCAAGACAAAGGCAAATCGCCATTATGCACTTGGGGATACTAACACACGAATTACTATTAAAATACACTGTGTGAGACACATAACATTAAAAGCATACATTTAACATATCCCCAGATAGCTCAGGTCTGAGCGCACATTATTAGGCGAATGGCGCTCAGACCACACAAATACAGTTTAATCGCCATGGAGCTAAAGTCTTTACACAGTCAGTTTCATGCGAATGGGCTCCATGGGATTCCTATCTGGGGTATAACATATTCCAGTAAAACTACCGAACGCCAGGCGGTTCGTGCACTTTCACCGACCAAGAAGGGAGGTCGGCGGCTTCAGCGGTGTTCGCGCAAAACTGTGTCCGATTTCAGTTCCAGGAATTAAGCGTCGAACACCGCTGTGCATTCGCATGTTTAAAATGGCCGTGACCTCGTGTTCGTGATAGGAATGGCGGCTACCCAGCATTCGTCAATTAAGCTGTGGTTTGGAGTTTGGAGCATTCAGGGAGGCTAATTGCCGGCACACTCCAGCTCCCAGGTGGTCCAGTCATTCGTACGGTTGTTCGGTAGATTGAATCTACCGAACACCAGGCAGAAAAGAATGAATAAATCTTTTCTGCAGGTAAAAAGATGTCTTTTAACAGGGGGCCATAGTCCAAAGGCAGCAGGCGAGCAACCAGGCTTCTCCAATGCAATGTGGCGAGATTGGTCTTGTCACACCCCCACACAGACTGACCCATACACATACACAGACTGACCAATACACACACACAGACTAACCCCCCACACAGACTGACACATACATACAGACTGACCCATACACACACACAGACTGACCCCCACAAAGCCACAGACTGACCCCCACAAAGCCACAGACTGACCCCCACAAACCCACAGACTGACCCATACACACACAGATCTAAGCTATCTGGGGATAGGTAGAATGTATATGTTTTATTCATTATTTGTAACATTGTGTATTTTTGTGTCTTTTTACTAACATGGAGTTTTGCCTCTGTCGTTGGTGGTAATTGGATTACTTCCCAATTATCTCCAGGATAGAGGGGAGGGATTGTAATGTACTATGGGAGTGTTTTAACCCTGTATGCCTGTGATTGGTCATTTTACCATTTGGGTCCCAGTCTTCCATCTGGTCCCCTATTGGAGTGTCCACCAGGTGGAAAACCTGCATAAATAACTGGCAGGTAGCCCCATTAAACCAGATCACTGCTTGACCCTCAACACGGAGCCTTGTCTCGTTCTTGGGGGGATTTATTGTATGCTGCTACAGTTTGATTGCCAGGAGTGTAAACCTATTTCGTATGTTTTTTCCTGTTTGGCTGTTTACAGCATTCATATGGTTCCGGTTTGGGAGTTTGGAGCATTCGTGTGGTTTCCAGTTCGGGAGATTGGTGTATGGAGTAGCTGCCTGTGTATCTGGAAGGGAATATCTCCTAAACGTCTTTTAACCCCTTTTATGTCTTGGGATGCCGTTACAGACCCATACACACACAGACTGACCCATACAAACCCAGACTGACCCTGCACACAGACTGACCCATACACACACACACACACACAGACTGCTACCCCACATACACAGACTGACCCATACATACACACAGACTGACCCATACATACAGACTGACTCATACACCCCCACACACACAGACTGACCCCCACACACATAGACTGACCCCCCCGCACACACACAGACTGACCCACCCCACACTCACAGACTGACCAATACATACACACAGACTGACCCATACATACAGACTGACTCATACACCCCCACACACACAGACTGACCCCCACACACATAGACTGACCCCCCCGCACACACACAGACTGACCCACCCCACACACACAGACTGACCCATACATACACAGACTGACCCCACCCACACACACACAGACTAACCCATACACCAGGGTTTGACAAATTTGTTTTGGAATCTAGGAGCCAGCTAAAAAAGTTAGGAGCCAGGTTTTTCTAAGGGAAACTATACTCACCAGAACCACTACAGATTAATGTAGTTGTTCTGGTGCCTACAGCCTGTCCCTGTAGCATTTTCAATGTAAACGCTGCCTTTTCAGAGAAAAGGCAGCGTTTACATTGCTGCCTAATAAGACCTCTAGTGACAGTCACTCAGACGGCCACTAGAGAGTACTGTGTCAGTGCTCTGCATGGAGGCGCGAATGCTTCCCATAGAGAACATGCGTGATATCCTCCCAATGCTTTCCTATGGGATAGCATTGGCTTAGCTGAGATCATTAAGATCTGTACACGTGTTCGTATGCGACCCAGATACGTTTACAAAATACCGATTGCATCAATTAACCTGCAGTTAGAGAAGTGTGAAAACCTAATAAGGTGCACCCTTCTCTCTGGGGTGGTCTAATGGTTCGGTAGTTTTCATTCGTATGGAATATGGATGGAAACTACCGAACAATCATACGAATACTACATACCATCTATCTATACAGGAGAATAAACACACAAATTACATTTTTAACACAATCTTTGAGGACAGCCCCATGCCATCCGCTACACTGCTCCCCTTTGCCCACAAGCCAGCATACACAGTCTGATCCAACACGGATTGGCTTGGGGATGACCGGGCAGCTCACGGATCATTTTTCAAGGTCTGTTTGTATGGACAACCCGTGAGCATTGCCATTCTGTTTTCCTGGGCGGTACTGGATGTTAAAGTCAAATGGCTGCAGTGCCAAACTCCAGCGCAGCAGCCTGACATTGTCCTCCGCCACCCGGTTTAACCATACCAACGGGTTGTGATCTGTGAGCAAAGAAAAGGGCTGTCCATACAAATATGGTTGTAACTTCTTTAGGGCCCACACCACAGCCAGGCACTCCTTCTTGATGGCGGCATAGCTCACTTCTCTAGGTAACAGTTTCCGACTGATGTTGGCTACGGGATGTTCTCCGCCATCGGCCCTGACTTGGCTTAGTACTGCCCCCAATCTAAACATCGAAGCGTCTGTGTGAACAAGAAACCGTTTAGTTGGATCGGGAGCGGTGAAGACGGGGGCATTGATAAGTGCATTTTTCAGAAGTTGGAATGCCTGCTCACACTCCGGAGTCCAGGTCACTTGGCGGGAAGGTTTTTGCGGGTAAGGTCAGTAAGGGGTTTGGCCAGGGTGCTATAGTTGGGCACAAACTTCCTGTAATACCCACCTGTCCCTAGAAAGGCTAGTACTTGGGTATTCGTCCTGGGAGTTGGCCATTGAGCTACGGCCTCTACCTTTGCGGGCTCATGTTTCTGCTTCCCGCAGCCTACTCTGTGTCCGAGGTACTGTACCTCAGCCATACCCATACTGCATTTGGAAGGTTTCAATGTTAAGCCTGCTTCCCGGATTCTATCAAGAACTGCTCCTATGTGGGCCAGCTGTTCCTGCCAGGTATTGCTAAAGATGGCAATGTCGTCTAAATAAGCGCAGGTGTAATCTTGGAACCCATCTAGGAGCCGGTCCACCATCCTCTGGAAGGTAGCCGGTGCGTTTTTCATCCCAATTCGGATCGGTACCATTGCAGTACCTTCAATTGGTCCAGGCCGAATGGGGTGACAAAGGCGGACTTAGGGATGGCGTCCGGGGCCAAGGGGATCTGCCAATACACCTTACAAAGATCGATAGTAGTGAGGTATTGGCCCCTGGCCATCCGGTCTAACAGTTCATCTATCCGGGGCATAGGGTAGGCATCAGACACTGTCTTTTCATTTAACCTCCGGTAGTCTACGCAGAAGCGGGTTGTACCGTCCCGCTTAGGTACGAGGACTACAGGGGAGGCCCAGGGGCTGTCTGACTGCTCAATCACCCCCAGTTGGAGCATCTCTTCGATCTCCTTGTGCATGTTCTCCCTTACTACTTCAGGAATGCGGTAAGACATCTGGTGCATGGGAAGTTGCCCTAGGGTTTCTACCCAGTGAGTTGCCAGAGGGGTGTACCCCGGTATATTGGAGAATGTGTCTTGTTTCTCCCTTAGTAATTGTTGTACCTCAGTATGCTACAGTGGGCTCAACCAGTCTCCCAGCGTAACCCCGAGATCCCCGGACAGCCGACCGTCCCCCAGCAGGTCTGGGAGGGGAAGGCTGTCGAACTCCTCAGAGGAAGGGGCACAAATGGTTGTCACCTCCTCTGAACGTTCCTGGTAGGGCTTCATCATGTTCACATGAATCATGTGTCGCCCTCCAGTTCCGGCGCATGGGCCAATTATATAAGTGGTATCACATCTCTGTTCCACCACTCTATAAGGACCCTGCCAGGCGGCCTGTAACTTATCATGTCGGACAGGTTTTAAAATTAAAACTTTCTGCCCGACCTGGAAGCTATGGTCCATGGCGCCCCGATCATACCAGGTGCGCTGGCGAGTCTGAGCTGCCTGAAGGTTCTCCTTTACCAACCTAGTCCGACCTATTCAATGCTTCTAAACGATCTCGGAATGCCAGCACATATGGTATGATAGGGGTACCGTCTGCGCTCAGGTCTCCCTCCCAGTGCCCAGGTAAAGGGGTCCTGTTACTCTACTCCCAAATAATAATTCAAATGGGGAAAACCCGGTCGATTCCTGCGGTACCTCCCGGTAAGCGAATGGGAGATGGGGCAGGAATCACTCCCAGTCCCTCTGGGTGTCTGCGAAGCATTTGTTTCAATGTTCCATTCGCAAAGCCCATTGGTCTGGGGATGGTACGGAGCACTGATGATAGGCTTGATGCCACAGAATTTCCAGAGGTGTTGGGTGACCTCTGCAGTGAACTAGGTGCCCTGATCTGAGATGATCTCCCTGGGTAACCCCATCCTGGAGAAAATCTGCATCAGGGCCTCAGCCACTGTTTCTGCATGGATATTAGTCAGGGCCACCGCGTCTGGATATCTGGTGGCGTAGTCTACCACCGTTAAAATATACTTCTTACCAGAAGGGTTGGTCTCTGAAGGGGGCCTATTAAATCTACAGATACCCTACTGAATGTGTAGCGGAGAGCTAGTATTTCATAGCCTATCTCCACTTGTAGATCCCAGTGAGGCTCAGGAACAAGTAATTATAAATCCATAGGCAAAGTATCCAGCAGGCAAAACAATACAGCAGTATTCCAACAGCACTCCCAATAACTGGACGACACACAGTATCAGGAGCAGAACTAAACCTTTATTCGTACAGTGGCCTTATAAAGCATGCTCCCATGCAAGGGAGGGATTTCCATTAATCAGTACAGTAGCCAATCCTGTTCTGGTAACCTCCCACACATCTCCTCCTCTCAGCCTGACTCATAATCCCCTTATCCAGGACACCAATTCCCCCCGTTTCTGGATGTACCCCTAAACCTAGGTAAACCTCTTTAAATGACACATCCCCTGGTAGCCATGATCTGGGTGAACAACATATCCAAAAATCACCCAGGTCAGACCAGGGGTTCGGGAAATTTATGGAGGGAATAAAAAGACCGACCGCGCTGGAGGGAACAGCCGAATTGGGTTCCATGCGATGGGGCCCTGCGGTCGGTCCTGGCATAAGGGAACAAATTGCACGAAAGCCTCCAGTTACAGAGACCAGGGAGGGTTCGTCTGAATCCCCTCGTTCGGTTGTTTCTGTCTACCGAACGAGGGGCCGTTCGGTAGTTTGGAAGCGAACGGACCGGGCTTGTGAAGGTCTCAGCGGTGTTCGCCTAGTCGAGTGTCCGATTTGGGTTCCAGACACTCAGCGTCAAAACACCGCTGTTCGGGAGTTTTAAAATGGCCGCCGCCACGTATTAGTTTCCTGAATGGCGGCCACCCCCGAGAACAAAGGACTTACTGCCCAGCTTGTCAATTACCCGTTCGCAACAATGTTGCAACGGGTAATTGAAGGCACACTTCACACCGAGGAGGTCTGACTGTTCGGTAGTTTCATTCCCTTAGTTGTTAGAATCAGACGAATACAACACATTTTCTACCCGTATAACCTGCCATTTACACGAATACAGTTAAAACCTATGCAATTCCCAGGACAGCCCAGTGCCATCCGCTACAGAATGGTTCCTCAATTATGGGGAACGGGTGCAGTTTTGCCTTCCGCCCGTCCCCCCTCTTCCCTACCCGTTGGCACGTATCACAAATACTGCAGTACCTGCGGACTTCCTGGCTGATTCCCGGCCAAAAGAAACTCTGGGTCAGTCGGTGCCAGGTGTGACTGACCCCCAAATGTCCGGATAGCGGAATATCGTGCGCTATCCGGAGTAATTCGGATCGGTACCATTGCGGTACCACTAGCTGCCTCATGACTATCGGGTCTGACCCAGCTACCTGCTTGTCAGACTCTCTATACAGTAACTGTTTATCCCATATAAATCTTTTGCCCTCCCCCCCAGGTTGGTCCGAGGTGACCTTGTCTCTGTAGACCTGTAATGTGGGGTCAGTGATCACTTCGGCCGCAAATTCGGTAGGAGGGGCCCAGGGGACACATTCTAAGGAAGAGGAAGGATCTCTTACCTGGACCTCCGGGAGTGTGTTGTAGTCCTGGGTGCCGGCCTGTTGTCGAGTGACCACTGGGTGTGCTTCTCCGGTTGTTGGTGCCTGGGGCTCAAAAGCAGAGGTGAGTCTGCCCAGATCATTCCCCCGCAAAACCTCCGCCGGCAATTGTGGCATTAACCCCACTTGCACATTTCCAAACCCCGCTCACCAATGTAATTGTACCCAGGCTGTAGGTAGCCGGTATACTGCTCCCCCGGCTACCCTGACTGCTACAGTTCGGCTGGTCTTGGCTTGATCGGATACGAGATGGCTTTTGACCAAAGATATAGTGGCCCCAGAGTCGCGGAACCCTTGTACCGCATTCCCCTCCAGGTAGACAGTTTGTCGATGATGCTGGCGATTGTCTGCATTCGCTTGGAGGGAATCCGTTTCGTGTAACACTTCCCATTGTTCCACGGTAGTGATAGGGATTGCCGAGCCATATGGAGTTGGTGTTTCAGTTTGATAGCAGTGCGCTGCTGCTCGAGGGGGTGGAGTAGGACCTGGTCGGATCCAGGTGGAGCGATCTCTTTGTTGGGGACAATCCCGTTTGTAGTGTCCCCACCTCTGGCACTGGTGGCATTGCACAGAACTGGATGGCCGGAACCGCTGTTGCGTGGCGGCTGGTGGATAAGTAGGTAGTGGTCGGGGTGGTGTTGCTGTGCTGGGGGGTGTGGCGAAACCAACCTCGCCACTGTGAACTGGAGAAGCCTGGTTGCTCGCCTGCTCCCTTTGGACTATGGCCCTGCAGGTTAAACTGTTTATTTCCCCTGCAGAAAGGCTTTTTTGTGTGATCTGAGTGCCATTCATCTAATAATGTGCACTCAGATCCCAGCTATCTGGGGATATGTGAAATGTCTTTGTGTTATGTGTAAATGTGACTTTATGTATTTTAAAGTGTTTTGTGTCTTTTTGCAACCATGTGCTTAATGAAGTCTTGTGTCTATCCTGGGAGATAATTGAATTACTCTCCAGGATAGAAGACTCTGAAACTGGTTTGGGCCAGAAAGCCATGCTTCATTTAGTCACAAAGGACTTTCCCTTAACTTTTGAACCCCTGGTCTGATTCGTGCCATTTTTTAATATGTTGTTCCCCTGAATGGATTGATTATGAAAATGTATGTTTTATGTTTGTGACATGTATATTTTAGAAGTTATAAATGTTGTGTAAAAACTGTATTCCTCTGCCGGTGATAATGGGATTACCCATTGTGTTCAGTAATCATATCACCTGCAGAGGGGAGGATTTTGTGTGGAGTGTCTGGGTGTATTGTACGGATTGATTGGTTGTTTTGTAACGCCCTGTGGGCTGTACTATGTTTGGGGATTGGGAATAAAAGAGACTGTATGTGACAGTACAGGGAGTTCCTGTTTTAACCCTCAAAGTGAAGTGTCGTCTCATTATTGGGGAAGGATTTATTGTATGCTGTTCCAGTTTGACTGCTAGGAGAGTAAACCTATTCGTATGGTTCCTATTCAACTGTCTACAGCATTCATATGCTTGAGAGGATTCATATGCTTCTCCGGTTCGGTGGTTGTGGTGTCTGCTGCAGTGCTTGGAGTCCTCAGGAAGCGCTAGGAGCATCCTTTAACGGAGGTACCCAGTCGGGGTGCCAGGCAATCCGTGGGGTGGTGTTGCTGTGCTGGGGGGTTGGCTGCTTCCCCCTAAGGGTCAAATCACTGTTTTGGTGGGTGCAGGTTTCTGTTGCCTGAGGGCATCCAGGTAGTCATCCGCTTTCTTAGCTGCCTCTTTGAGGGAGTTTGGACTGCGGTCCCTTACCCATTCCTGGACATCTGTCTGGATCCCATCATAAAATTGTTCTAATAGCAACATTTGTAATAAGTCGTCCATGGACCGATCCTTGTTTGCCTGCAGGGCCGGACTGGCCCACCGGGATACCGGGAAATTTCCCGGTGGGCCGCGGCACCTGGGGGGCCGGAGAGAGAGAGGGAGCCCTGCTCCCTTTACTTTAATAATATCGCGGCCGCCGGCCGCATGTCGGTGCCGCCGGGTGCCGGGTCCGGCGGCACACTCTGAGGTGAATACTCACCTTGCGGCCAGCGGCCCCATCTCCCGTGCTGACAGCTGTCAGTATCAGTGAGTGTGCCGGGCGTCCGCCTAAGCGATCCAGCAGCACACTCACTGATACGGACAGCCATGCGGTTGTCAGCACAGGAGGTCTGAGGGAGGGGGCGGAGCTAACTACCGTGCTCCCTCGCGGTTCCCATAATTCCCAGCATCTACACATCATAGAGTAAGGATTACTCTATGATGTGTAGATGCTGGGAATTATGGGAACCGCGAGGGAGCATGGTAGTTAGCTCCCCAGACCTCCTGTACTGCTGCAAGCAGGCACACAGAAGGGAAGGGGGGGGGGAGACAAAAAGAAGGAAAGGGGGGGAGACAAATAGAGGGGAAGGGGGGGCAAATGGAGGGGAAGGAGGAGACAAAGAGGGGAATGGGGGGGACAAATAGAGGGTGTTGCGGAGCTGCAATTTTATAATCCCAGGATCTCTGCTGGTAGAATGCAATAACCAAGTACAAAGCTGGAAGCAGGCAATATTCCCAAATCCTCCCAAGAACCAGACGAAACACAGTCTGAGAGTCAACTGCCACTTTATTCAAAAAAGACTGATATTTAAAGCAGGTCACTCAACTGTCACTTTATTAAAAATAACTGATATTTAAAGCAGGTCACTCAACAGGGGTTTCCAAAGATGGGCAGCAGGGGTTTTGGTTGAGGGGACTGGAGGGAGACTACCGTTTCCAGGTCCTCCTCCCAACAGCCCCTGCTGTAACATACAGTAATGAAAACTACGAGGACATAAACCGTTACCTTTCTACTTCAAAATATACAACTTAGTCAGTTTTAATAGCAATGCTAACGAATGGGGAGGATTCGAACAGACATACACAGTACAGCATAAATTAAACATAGCCGGAGACGCCACACTATACCGGCGCGCAGTACACAACAGAAAATAGGCACAACCATTCTATCTTAGGCAGTCCCAAGTGGCTAGGTTTGCCACA